TTAAATTAAATACAATTCAACTTCCAATTGACAAGAAAGATCGACGGAAGCTGCAGCGAACAGCTCCACGAACCCTAAACCCTAAACCCTAAACCCTAGGGTTTAGAGCTGGGGCCCGCTAGGGCTTCGAAACGCGGCGTGACAGACAAGCCCTCAGCAGCAGCAGCTGCTGCTGAGGGCCAGCGAGGGTTTAGGGTTTCCTAGGGTTTAGGGTTTCCTAGGGTTTAGGGTTTGCTGCTCCCTTCCCAGCAGCCTGGGGGCCCCCCAGTAAGGAAATTCAAGGGGCCCCCGTGCCCCTCGGGGGGCCCCCCTCGCAAAATAACTGGGGGGGCCCCCAGGGGCCCCCAGAACTGCAGGGCCCCCCCCCCTACTAGTGAGCACTTAAGGGTACTGCTGGGGGACCCCAAGGAATGCAGTCAGGGGGCCCCCAGGGGGCCCCCAGGGGCCCCCTGGGGCCCCCAGGGGGCCCCCAAGGCATGCAGTAGGGGGGGCCCCAGGGGGCCCCCAGAGGGCCCCTGAGGGCCCCCTGAGGGGCCCCCAGGTGGACTGCTTCGCTGCTGGTTAGTTGTCAACATGACAGGTTTAAAAGTTGTTTGACTTCTGAAGAAGTTGGCTAGCTAGCTAGCTAGCTGACTGGCTAGCTGGCTAGCTAGGCAGCTAGCTAGCTAGCTAGCGAGGTAGCTAGCCACACGGGCTGCTTCAGTCAGCTGCAGCAGCTCTACAGAGCGTACCCGAAGCAGCAGCAGCAGCAGCAGCAGCAGCAGCAGCAGCAGCAGCAGCGAAGGCAGCCCCCACTGCTGCTTATGCCCCGTGCAGTTGCTGCTGCTCTCGCAAGCAGTTGCCGCTGCAGCTATTGCTGCTGCTGCCGTTGCACTTAGTGCTCCGGCTGCTGCTGCTGCTGTTGCTGCTGCTGCTGTTGTTGCTGCTGCTGCTGCTGCTCCTGCATGCAGCATTATGCCTCCTCATTTTGCTGCGCTGCTGGCGAGGCCTCTTGAGCCTCAGGGACACCCCCAAACATATCAAAATCATCCTGAAGCAAACAGCAGCAGCAGCAGCAGCAGCAGCAATAGCAGCAGCAGCAATAGCAGCAGCAGCAGCAACAGCAATAGCAGCAGAAATTGCAGCAGCAATAGTAGCAGCAGCAGTGCTCTTGCAACTACCGTGGGGCTGCGCTGCTGCGTGGTTACAGGAGTTTCTTACTTCTTCCTCAGCAGCAGCAGCAGCAGCAGCTGCTGCTGCTGCTGCTGCTGCTGCTGCTTCCTGCTCCTCTCTTTTCCTTTTTCGAATAAGAGCATCAACATCAAAAGTGCTTTTTGCTGCTGCTATTTCCTCGAGGCCGCTCATCCGAATGCCTCCGCCTCTGGCACCGGACTCTGCAGCAGCAGCAGCAGCAGCAGCTGCTGCTGCTGCTGCTGCTGCTGGGGGCGACTCTGGAGGTGCTGCTGCTGCTGCTGCTTCTGCTGTTTCTGCTGCTGAGGCTGTTTCCGCGTCAGAGCGAGGGCCTGGCTCTGCAGCACAACCTGGGGCTTCTCTGCTGCTGCTGCTGCTGCTGCTGCTGTTGCTGCTGCTGCTTGTGTGTTCTCTACCTGCTGCAGTGGTCCCTTGCTGCTGCTGCTGCTGCTGCTTTGGGCCGTCTGTGCTGCAGGCTGCTGCTGCGTCTGTGGGGGAGTCTATTTGGCTCTCTGCAGCAGCTTCTTGTGTCTCTTTTGTGTCCTTTTCTGTCTCCTTTTCCTTCTCATCAGCAGCAGCAGCAGCAGCAGCAGCAGCAGCAAAAAGGTCTTTGCGCCATTTGAAGTAAACCACTGTGCAGGTCTTGTCGTCCGCACTGCCTCTAGCAGCAGCTTCCTCCACAACCAACTGAGCGGCCTGCAGCAGCAGCAGCAGCAGCAGCAGCAGCAGCAGCAGCAGCAGCAGTTGCAGTGCAGCGATAGCTGCGGGGGCGAATGCCGAAGAAGGAGCGAAGGAACAGCTGCAGAAGCAGCAGCAGCAAAAATATTAGGGGCAGCAGCAGCAGCAGCAGCAGCAGCAAAAACACGAGCAGCAGCAGCAGCAAAAATATTAGGGGCTGCAGCAGCAGCAGCAGCAGCAGCAAAAACACGAGCAGCAGCAGCACAAAGCACAAGCAGCAGCACCAACAGCAGAACAGGTAGCAGCAGCAGCATCTGCAAAAGCATAAGCAGCAGCAGCAGCAGCAAAACCATCACCAGCAGCAGTGGCAGCAAAAAGCACTAACAGCAGCAGCAGCAGCAACAGCTGCAGCAGCAGCAGCAGCAAACCTCTTGGGGAGTCGGCGGGAGCTTCTTAAGAATTAATTTGACAACTTCATCATCAGACAAAACATCGAAAATGCCGTCAGATCCCAACACCTGAGCAAACCCTAAACCCTAAACCCTAAACCCTAAACCCTAAACCCTAAACCCTACAGCGTAAGACCTAAGCGCTGCTGCTTTCAGCAGCAGCAGCAGCATCATCGCAGCAGCAGTAGCAGCAGCACGACCATCACCACAATATGCAGCAGCAGCAGCAGCATTAACAGCATCAGGTGCTGCAGCGCCAGCAGCAGCAGCAGCAGCGCCGCAATCTGCAGCCCCATGGGCAGCAGCAGCAGCAGCAGCATACTCATGATCAGCAGCAGCAGCTGCTGCAGCAGCACAAGCATGATCAGCAGCAGCAACCGCAGCATCGTAAATATGATAAGCAGCACCAGCAGCCGCAGCAGCATCCACACGACGAGTAGCAGCAGCAGCAGCATAGTCACAATCAGCAGCAGCGACTGCAGCAGCAGCTGCTGCAGCAGCAGCAACTGCAGCAGCAGCAGCATAGTCACAATCAGCAGCAGCACCAGCGACTGCAGCACCAGCAGCTGCAGCAACTGCAGCAGCAACAGCAGCAACTGCAACGGCAGCAGCAGCAGCCGCACAATCAAGACCAGCAGCAGCAGCAGCAGCAGCAGCAGCAGCAGCAGCAGCAGCAGCAGGGGCTGACGAGGAAGGCGTCTGCGGCGAAGTCGAGGGCGAGGACCCGAACTGTCGGTACACTCGAAAGGACTTTGTGGGGTTTCTTCAAAGCGCTGTCTCCAAACCCTCGAGCTGTCGATACACCCAACGCCCCACACCGCCGGTTCGCAGCAAACGCCCTCCACACCCCCTGCACGCACACCACCTGCCAGCAGCAGCAGCAGCAGCAGCAGCAGCAGCAGCAGCAGCAGCAGCAGCAGCAGCAGTAGCAGTGGACACAGCAGCAGGAGTAGACGCAGCAGCAGTGGCAGCAAAGAGAGTCGACGCAGGAGCAGCAGCAGTGTCAGTAGCAGCAGCAGCAGGAGCAGCAGCAGCAGCACAAGCAGCAGCAGCAGCAGCAGCAAACAAAAGGACGAAGTTGTCTTCAAGAGCAGCTTTTGGATTAAATGAATAAATGAATTAAAATAACTTAAAAGCATTTGCGAAAAGTTTCTATTTAGTGCAACAATTAAATTAAATATAAATAAATGATTTATAACAAATCAATTATGCAAATATCCATATTTAATTTTAAAATAAATAAAAAAAACAAATAAATAATTAAAAATAAATAAACTACAAAAAACAAATGACTAAAAATAAATAAATGATTAAAAATAGACAAATGAATAAAAACATTTTTGGATTAAAAAAAAGACACCAAAATAATAGTTTTGAAAAACCGCATTTAATTAAATTAAAAAAAAAATAAAATTAAATTCAAAATAAAACTTCAAAAACTCTTTCTTTAATTCAATTATTTATTTTTTAATTTTAAAAGTGCTGCTGCTGCTGCTGCTGCTGCTGCTGCTGCTGCTGCTGCACCTGCCCTCCTGCTGCTTCAATTCTTTTTCTTTCGCTCGGGCTGTTGGGCTTGTGGTCTTCTGTCAGTCTCAAGGCCTCCCCGTTCCTGAAAAAGGGTTTAGGGTTTAGGGTTTAGGGTTTAGGGTTTGGGGTTAGGGTTTGGCGACTGGGTGTTTCTACGCCTGAACTGCAAAGGGCTTCGCAAAAGATCTACAGCTTTTTTTGCTGCTGCTGTTGCTGCTGCTGCTGCTGTTGCTGCTGCTGCTGCTGTTGCTGCTGCTGCTGCTGTTGCTGCCGCATTCGAAGCAGCAGCAGCAGCAGCAGCAGCAGCAGCAGTAAGAGTAGCAGCAGCAGCAGCAGCAGCAGCATTATCAATAAAACATGAATCAACAAAAGGAGATATAAAAATTTAAAAAAGAGACAAACAAACCACCAAAAAGAGCTCCGAAAACAACTAAAAGGAGTTTTTAGAAACCACAAAAAAGGGTTTTAAAATCCACCAACAGTGGTTTAGGAAAACCACTAAAAGGGGTTTAATAAACCTTGAAAAGGAGTTTAAAAGGGGCATAAAAATGCACTAAAAGGGGCTTGAAAAACCACAAAAAAGGGTTTTAAAAGGGTCTAAAGAGGGGTTTGAGAAACCACTAAAAAGGATTTAAAAGGGCACTAAAAAGGGTTTAAAAAACCACAAAAAGGGGTTTAAAAGGGCGCAAAAAGCGGCTTAAAAAAACACAAAAAGGAGTTTAAAAAGGCACTAAAAGGGGTGTGAGAAACCACGAAAAGGGGCTTCAAAAGGCACCAAAAGGGGTTTGAAAAACCACAAAAAAGGGTTTAGAAAGTGCGAAAAAGTTGCTCAAACCTGCAAAGAACAACTCGGGAATCTCCTGCATGCGCTGTGATAAGTTTCAAAGCCCCGTCAGAGTCCGGGCCGAAGAAAATGGCCGCAGCAGCAGTTGAGCCAGCTGAAAAGAAATAAATAAATTAAATTAATTAATTTAATTTAATTTAATTTAATTTAATTTAATTAATTTATTTAATTTAATTTGATTAATTCGATTCAGTTTATTGTTTTAATTAAATGCAGTTTCATTCCGACACCTCACGTGCCAGCTAATCCACTCAAAGCCGCCGCAGCAGCAGCAGCAGCAGCAGCATGGATGCAGCAGCAGCAGCAGCAGCATACACGCAGCAGCACCACCATATGTGCAGCAGCAGCAGCATGTAAGCAGCAGCAGCACCACAAAGTCCATCATTTTTAAAGAGCAAAAGACAGAACTTGGGTCAAAAGAAAGGAATGAAAAGAATAAAGAAGAAGAAAGAAGAATGGAGAAGAATAAAAAGGAATTTGAGAAGAAAAAAGAAGAAAAAAGAAGAAAAAAGAAGCAAAAAGAAGAAAAAAGAAGAAAAAGACCTAAAAGAACAACCCCACCAATAACCACCCACCATCTTGGGCCAGACGGGCCCTGGCCAGAGCCAAAAAGTTATTTTCAGTCAAAGAAAAAGAAGAAAAGAGGAAAAAAAGAGGAAAAAAAGCGGAAAAAAGGGGAAAAAAGAGGAAAAAAGAAGGAAAAAGAAGGAAAAGGAAGAAGAAAGAAGAATGGAGAAGAATAAAGAGGAATTAGAGAAGAAAAAAGAAGAAAAAAGAAGAAAAAAGAAGCAAAAAGAAGAAAAAAAGAAGAAAAAGACCTAAAAGAACAACCCCACCAATAACCACCCACCATCTTGGGCCAGGCGGGCCCTGGCCAGAGCCAAAAAGTTATTTTCAGTTAAAGAAAAAGAAGAAAAGAGGAAAAAAAGAGGAAAAAAAGCGGAAAAAAGGGGAAAAAAGAGGAAAAAAGAAGGAAAAAGAAGGAAAAGGAAGAAGAAAGAAGAATGGAGAAGAATAAAGAGGAATTAGAGAAGAAAAAAGAAGAAAAAAGAAGAAAAAAGAAGCAAAAAGAAGAAAAAAAGAAGAAAAAGACCTAAAAGAACAACCCCACCAATAACCACCCACCATCTTGGGCCAGGCGGGCCCTGGCCAGAGCCAAAAAGTTATTTTCAGTTAAAGAAAAAGAAGAAAAAAAACTTCGGCAAAGAGCCTCCACTTCGACGGAAAGCTGCTGCTCTTCAGCCCGCAGCTGCAGCAAACTGCCCCCGTTCAGCTGCTGCAGCAGCTGCTGCTGCTGCTGCTGCTGCTGCTGCTGCCGCCGCGACGAGCAACCCCCGCTCCGCTCTTCCCGCTTTCGCTGGTAGCAGCAGACAAAACAAAACATGTACTTCCCAATACCTAGCTAGCTAGCTAGCTAGCTAGCTAGCTGGCTAGCTAGCTAGCTAGCTAGCTAGCTAGGTATTGGGCTGGCTAGCTGGGCTTTCGGTCAGCTAGCTAGCTAGGTGCTTGGCTAGCTAGCTGGCTATTTTGATAGTAAGCTAGCTAGGTGTTTGGCTAGCTAGGCGGGCATTGGGCTAGCTAGTTAGGTAGCTAGCTACTTGGCTAGCTAGCTGGGCATTGGGCTAGCTAGCTGAGCCTTTAGCTAGCTGCGCCGCCTGCTGTCCAGCTAGCTACACAGCCAGCCACGAATCCAGCTAACTAGCTAGACATCAAGCTAGCTGGCTGGCTAGCTAGCCATCCACCTAGCCAGCAAGCTGGCTACCCGTCTAGCTAGCTAGCCACCTAACTAGCTAGCTAGCTAGCCACCTAACTAGCTAGCTAGTTAGCCACCTAGCTAGCCGGCTAGCTAGCCACCTAACTAGCTAGCCACCTAGCTAGCTACCTAGCCAGCTAGCCAGCTAGCCAGCTAGCCAGCCAGTTAGCTAGCTAGCCAGCTAGCTAGCCAGTTACTGACCTGCACAGTTCGGTAGAACTGCCTGTAGCAGCTGAGGAGGTTTTTGTGGAGGTGGGCGGCGGCGTATTCTGCGCAGCTGCAAGTTGGGGTGTACGTACACCCGAAACGAAGAAGCAATGAGTTGCAGAGACACTTCAAGCAGCAGAGAGATGCTCCCCAAACCCTAAACCCTAAACCCTAAACCCTAAACGCTAACCCCCCACTAAACCCCAAACACTGGACCCCAAGCCCTAAAGCCCCGCCAGCAAGCACCAAACTGTGAACCCCTCCAAAACGCAAACCCCAAACCCCAAAACCCAAACCCCAAACCCCAAACCCCAAACCCTAAACCCCAAACCCTAAACCCCAAACCCTAAACCCTAAACCCTAAACCCTAAACCCTCGGGACGCACTCTGTGCCCGCGTGGCCGTCATAGACTGCTGTGAAATAACACAAACCCTCGGAGCTGCCCGCAACAGCTCCCAAAGGCAATCCGACTTTGGTGATAAATCTGTCTTCGCAGGGGCCCTTGCCCTCGGCCGAACCCTGGAGTTTGCGGGAAGGCAAATTGAAATGAATTAAATGAAATAAATGAATTTAAATGAATTTTAATTAATTTTAATTAAATTTTATTTACTCTGCAACTCAAATCCTCCATTTTGATGCAAATAAAACCCCCTAATCGGAAAGATCGGGCGGCGCCGGCGGCGCGAGCGGCGCCGGCTCAGGTGTACGTACACCTGAAATCCCGCGCGAGCGACGCTCACAAAAAGGTGAAACTGGACTTTTAAACCATTAAAAATGATCAAATTTTGAACAATTAATTCCAAATAATTAAATTAAACTTTAATTTCAACTTTAGATCTCGAAAAAGCGCCAGTTAACCGCGAACTTGCCACAATTCAAGTAATTCGTTCGGAATGGGCAATTGCAGAATTTCAAAAGATAAAATTAGTTCAAATAAATAACTACTTTTTGGCAAGTTAAAGACAACTTTAAAACAGCTTTTAATTGCGGGATATTTTAAAAACTTTGTTTCTTTCTGCACACTTGTTTTTGAAACGTTGCTGCGTCTAGTTCATCTTCCAAGTCCACCAAAAAATCGGACTCTGCGTCTGAGTTTTCCGTTTCATTTTCAGTTTCCGTTTCTTCTTTTTCAACTTCTTGGTTTTCTCCCTTCTCGCCATTAAAAGCCTCCTCGCCAGCTGGCCGCCACTCCGCAGCAGCAGCAGCAGCAGCAGCAGCAGCAGCTGCTGCTGCTGCTGCTGCTCCCAGCTCGGTTTCCCGCGGATCTGCAGGAACCAAAAGGTTCTTCTCCGCGTTGAAAAAAACTTTTTCTTTTGGATTGCAAAGCCAGCCGCTGGCTGCATGCGCGAGCCACTCTCCCTCGGCCGCTTCCGCCCAGCCGAGCTGCTCCAGATCTTTTTTGTGTTTTTGTTGGTTTTCTGCGAATTCCCACGGAAAAAAGGGCGGCGAAGGGTTTTCAGCCGCCATTACGGAAATAAACTCCAAAATAACTCTCCAGAAAACTTCAAACGAAAAAAAATGATGCGTTTTCCCCCTTTTCCGGCTTCAGCGGCCTCCGCGGCGCACCCCGAGCTGTCTGTACACCCCAGCGCCCACGCTGAAACAACTTTTTTTGCTTTTTTTCGCCGATCTTCCGCGCAAAAGAGAAGCAGCTGTTGCAAATGAAGAAAAGAAATAAAAACTGAAGTTTGAGGCTTCACAAAAGCCGGAGTTTCCGCGTTTTGCAAAAACGCGAAAGTTCCATTTCGCCGCGAGCTGTCTGTACACCTGAAACGCCGCGCGAGCTGTCCATACACCTGAAACGCCGCGCCGCGATCCCGCACCCCTCGACGAAACACAGCCGCCACAAACTTAAAATTGAATTTAAATGCAAAAAAATAATTAATTTAATTCAGAATTATTGGCGAAGAGCGCCGGAAAAAGCACACAGAGCTGCCCAGCAACTGAGGTTTCAGCAGCAGCTCGCGAAGAGCTGCCGAGTCTTGTAGCTAGATGGGGGCAATAAAGTTCAATTTGAGTTTAAAAGAATAAAATTGTGGAATAAAACAAATAAAATAACAAAAATAAACAATTTGTAATCAAAAAGGTCCTTTTTTTCTCCCTTTCCACCGCATGCAGCTCCGGGGCCCCCTAGTGGCTGCAGCGGAAGCCCTACACAACTGCAGCTGCTTTCTTCTGGATTTAAATATACTTCTATTGTTTTAATTCTTCTATTTATTTTAAATCCAATAATTTAAATTGTTTTTAATTCACTATTTCCACTTTCTGTTCTTTCCAGAAAGCCCCCTGTGGCCTTATCAGGCTAGTGGGGTTTTAAAGCCAAATAACTCAACTTAGAATTTTTAGTGTCTGCTGCATGCAAATGCTCTTTTTGTCTTTTTGAAACTTCTGCACTTTTCATTCTTTCTTTTTGCTTCCTTTTTTGTTCAATTTATATATTTTTTCTTTCTAGAAAATATCTTTTGCATTTCTACTTTTATTCCATTTCACTTCAATGGAAATTCGCAGCTGCACTAAGTGGCTGCTTCGCAGAGAGAGAGGGGCAACTGAAGCTGCTGCACTAGCCCTAAACCCTAAACCCTAAACCCTAAACTAGGGTTTCGGAACTGGATAAGATCTCGGCAACCTCCCGAGATAGCCCAGCTAAATACGCGAACCACAAAGCAAAAGCAAAATGAAACCCTAGTTCCCCCCGACGCAATACGCTCATCTAGGGTTTAGGGTTTAGGGTTTGCGAGCCAGTGGGCCCTTCGCTGAGCCCCTAGGGTTTGGTTGAGGGTTTGAAACCCTCGGCAGGTGGCTAGGGTTTAGGGTTTGGGGAAACAGCGGATGCACACGCAGATGGCCTCTGGATTCAGCAGCAAATAAAAAGATTTAATTAATTTAATTTCAATTTCTGAATTTGGCGAATGCAGAACACAGAGTGTCTGTACACCGCAGTTGGAACGAGCTGTCTGTACACCCCAAGACGCGCAACTGCAACCTGTTCTTCCGAAACTCACTTTTCGAGAACTTCAAAAACAAATTCCTTAATTAATTAATTAATTAATTAATTAATTAATTAATTAATTAACTAATTATTTTAATTAATTAATTAATTAATTAATTAATTAATTATTTTAATTAATTAAATAATTAATTAATTAATTAACACCAGCAGCTCGCATAAAAGCTCAAAAGGAGACAAATCGGGAGGGTCAAATCAGGAGGCAAAATCACTTTTATAGATTATAAATATTTATATAATTTATATATGCATATATGCTTATATACATTTGTATATATATACATATTTATATGCATTTATATATATATATATATATATATATATATATATATATATATATATATATATATATATATATATAAAT